CGGCGCCGCTAGAGGCCTCGCCGTGTCTTCGAATCGATGTTGAGTGGCTTTACGCGCTTTACCAGTACTGCAACAAGAAGGTAGCGGACGCTCAATCGGGTTCACACGCGACGTGTGCAGAGCAGAGCTCAAACTACGCCGCTTTCTGCAGTTTGTTGAAAAAACGCGCCGCCGCAATCACAGTGGAGAATCGGCCAGTCGTTCTGCGCGAGTTGGAAGAGCTCGCAGCTTCAAAACAGCTCGCAAGACTTGACGTGGATATCTTCGAAATAGTTGGAAAAGACAACTACGACGTGTACGACCAAACGGTGCGCTGGCTTAAGTTCCTCGATGTGCCGGAAAAGCACATGCCGCTGTTTGCGACGCACCCAGCTAGCTGAGCAATTCAGCCGGCACCTCTGTGGCGAAGGACTCAGTTGACAGAAAACTGAAGTTCTGCCGCATGCGCCACTCCGTCCACAGGCTCACAGACTCGGACGCGTTAGGCGATGCGCTCTTGATGGACTCCTGCGAGGTTGCGGCGCTCCCGCTCGCTTCGGGTGCATCTTTGCTCAGTTCCTTCATCTTGTCCGCAAAGCTCAAGCTCTTGAACCCTTTGGAAGCAACAAGCTTTGCAGGAACACCCGGCCGCTCCTTCAAAAATTCAAGGTCCAGCAACCCCTTGTTGCTTGTCACGATCTTATTAAAAGTCACGACCGACTTCTGGTAATCGAGCGGCTCCTTGACTTCCTCGGTGTTCGTGGCCTTCACGAGCTCGAAAATGTTGTCGAGGATGTACGTAAGCAGTGAGTGCGACGTTTGCGACGCGAGGTTCAGCGCATGAAAAGAAAGCAGTTTGTCGCACCTTTCAACCGTTTGTGGGCCGAGGAACGCCGCAATGATCTTTTTGGTGTTGACGTACAACTTGTCGAAGTCATACGATTCCTTAATGTAAGTGCTGTGCAACGTGCTGCCGCTAGGCGTCAGCAGAAAGCGGAATCTGATCTCGAGGAATAAGTACATCATGCTGACAAAGTGTTTGCGTTGCTGCTCACTGATCAGGTTCGCGTAGAAAAACGAAATGGGGTTCGCGCAGCTGGAGAACTCGAACATCAAGTTGTCCGCAAGCGTAACAGTCGAGCGGTGCAAGTAGCTGGTATCATTTTTAAAGAATCGCACAATGTTCTTGATTTTGTTGAGCAAGTCGATCGAATTATGGACGAGCTTCGACTTGCTCTCCGCGTTCAGCGACTGCGAAAGATCGAGCTGTCGGTTAGTGGCCATGATGATGTTCAAAAACCGCAGGTACGTCACAAAGCAGTCGAACAAGCCGCTTTGCGTGTTGTCGGGACAGTCGAAGCAGCGTGAAATGATGTTCTCGTAAAGCTGCAGCGCGGAGTCCGACAACATGAAGCGCGTCGGCAAGTTTAGATAAATACGATTGGAAATATCCGGCTGTTCCTTGTGTTTGAAGGTGTTCGCGAGGTTCACAAGCGAAGACGGCAGCGTCGACAGAACCATGCTCGTAAACATGAGCGGTTTCGCGTCGTGTTTGATCGAGACCTGCGAACGCATCAGCGAGTTGCACAAATAGATCATCATTGAGTAGGCCGTATTGATCTCTTTAGGCCCGACGCGCCCGAGCGTGTGCTTGAAGAACGGGAAGGAGTCGATGAGCAAGTTCTTCAGAAGCGCGCTTTCTGCCTCAATCAAGCTGCTGCACAGCAGCGTAGTCAACTCGAGGAAATTTATGATGTATTTGGGGTGCTCGTTGATAATTTTGTAAAAGTCGAAGAGCACGTAAAAACCGCGCCCGCCAAACTGCGTGAAGCGAAAGCCTTTGAACGCTGCAAACAGTTTGCGTTTCTCCTCAGCGCGGAACGAGTCAAGCTGTCGCACGCTGTCTTCGAGCATGTTGTACACCGCCTCGTCGCTGAAGACTGTGTTCACGTCGTGCAGAATGAAGTCGACCAGTTGTTCGGGCGTCGCCACCGCAACATTGTGCGAGAAAGTCTGGCTCGTCAGATACCCGTTTTTCACGCTGACCGCCGAAATCAGCAAACCGTCCAAGTCATTGACACTCATCTTAGCGCATGATTCGTCGCTGAGCCGCGGAGAAAAATGAAAATTCGAAATATTTATCGCGACAAACCTCGGCCGAACCCTGATTCGCGAAAGCCTCGCGGCGCATGCACGAGATGGCGCTAGAAGCGAAGGGCGCGATGATCGCATTCCTCAATCCGCTGCCGATCGACCAAAGCACGAAACACGCGCGAAAACTCTTCATCGCCAATCTCCCGCCGGACGTCACGGAGGATGCCACTCTCGCTGAGTTCTTCAACGTGCTGCTCTCGCACCTACTGCCGAACAGACAGACTGGTAAGCCTGTCGTCGGTGCGTTTCTCAACGCCGCTAGGTGTTTTGCGTTCTTGGAACTGCGCAGTATCGAGGAGACCACATTCTGCCTGGACCTAGACGGCGTGTCTATGGCAGGCTACGCGCTAAAGATTCGTCGTCCGCAAGACTACAATGCCGAACTTGCACACCAGCAGCTCGCTATCGAAATGCGGTTGAAGGGCGGCATTTCTTCTCTACGCGGCGCAAAGACGGTGAGGAACCTCAACTCCACCAACTGCTACGTCAGCTCCAGCGGGCTCGAAAATATCACCGACGTAGACACCACAGTGCCGCTCGCGATCGGTGCGAAAAGCAACTTGTGTCGCCTATTTGTCGGCGGGCTGCCGCCTGACTGTCAAGAGGCATCGCTGTCCGACCTTTTCTTGCAATTTGACAAGGTGAAAGTAATCGAGTTCATGCAAAACGAGCGCGGAAAGTGCGCGTTCGTCGAAATACGCAACCAACACAAAGTGAACTACATTTGCGAGAAGCTGCACGGCTTCCAGTTTTGCGGAAAGCCGCTGACAGTGCGCAAACTTGTCGCCACGAGCCACAGCAACTACGACGAGCTGTTTGACTGTGCCGATAACAGTGCGCCGCTCGAACTCGTACAGTTGCAAACTCTGGACAACCCGCTGCCGAAACTAGAAGGCGAACTGCCGGGATACTCTGACGATTTGCAGTTGCCCGCGCTGGCGCAGCTGGCGCACGACCCTGAGCTGCACGGCGTGCGCTTTGTGTGCGTGCGCTTCGAAGCACCACAGGTCCGCACGAACGGAACGGCGTTGAGCGAGGTTCTTGCGCAGCTCGCGAGTCGCGTCGGAATTTTACTGAACTGCTATCCGTCTAACGATCGCTCGCTTTTACTTGAGTTTACAACGCCTATCGCTGCGCACTTTTTCGCCGCGCTCTACCGACACCTCGTCACCGAGACTCCGGCAGCGCTTGACACCGCAGTCGCAAACAGTTCCGCACGGATTGAGCTGCCGCCACAACGAATTTCGTGCAAGGCCGCGAAGACGTTTTGCAAAGTGCTACTTTGCCGCGCGCGCTTCTCTAACGAAGCGTTGACAGCTCTGACGAAGTTTCAAGACGAGCTCGAAGCTGCGCGATACAAAGAAGTGTCAACAGCTCTTCTGTTCTAACGACGCGGCAGACCGCGCGCGCTCCGGCTTAGTTTGCCGCTAGCATCTGCGAGCGGAGCATGAAGCACTCGCCTTTCTCGTTACCGAGCAGCGCAATACCCGTCCGCGAGAGACGCATTGAAACTACGCGGCTGAAGTTGAAGTTCTTTGCCGGAATTTTTGGATACATCTTCAAACTGTCTACGTGGATGAAGCGGAACTCGTTCGCTTTGCTGTAGTCGCCGACCGCAATGATAGGGCAGTCGTACATCACCCACAAGTTCAGTGGCAAGTTAGCCAGCGGCTTGAAGCTTTTTTTGATCGCGAAGTCGCCGAGCTTATCGCAAACGTGCACAAAACCGAAGCTGTCACACACGACAAAGCTGTCCGTCGTGCAGCCGACGCGCAAAATTGAAAGTGATTCTTTGAACCGCACCTTGCGCTTGCAACGCACTGAGTCCAAGTTCCATATGTACAGGTAGCCCTTGTCGTCGCCAGCGACGATCTCGTTCTGCTCAGCGTCGAAGCAGAAGTCTTTCAAGCACGAACCGGAGTTCAACGTGCGGACTACAGCGCCTGATTCTTCATCGATCTGCTGAACCAAACCCTGCTGGTCCAGCAAGTACAGAGACGCGAGATGGCACTCCATCTTGCGGATCATTGCCTGTCGCGCACGCGGCCGAAACATGTACAGGTCTGACACGACAAAACTCGTGAGGTCCAGCTTCTTAATGGTGGACTCGTCTCCGCAAATGTACACGGCGCCGCAGTCACTACTGTAACAGCTCAGATGCGAGCTGAACTTAGATAAACCCACGTTCTTCACCGTCACATCAAAGTTCTGCGAGACTGAGTACAACTTAAGTACCCGGTCGGCGCCCAGCGAATACGCGCGTAACGGAAACTGGGTTGCGCTCAGACCGACTGAGTTTACGGTTGCATCGTGCAAGTTCTGCTTGTTCAGCTGCACGCAACAGTCGATGGCGAAGCGCGAATCATTCCGAACGCGCACCGCTTGCTTCAGAATTGTAGCTCCGACCGACGGCCCGCCGGTCGATTTTGCCCGCAGTTTGGCGAGCCAGCTCGTCTGCGTCGCGCGCGCTTTTGAAGCGTTCGAGCCCTTTGTCTTTGCGCACTCTGCCTCGATCAGCCTAAGATTCGTCAGTGGTTGGTCGGGTGAGGCACCAACGAGAGAATTCTCGAGCTCTGGTTCCGGCGCATTGCCAGCAGAGTCCGCCGCTGCCGCGCTCTCGGTCTGTTCTGCCGTGCCATTTGTGCCGAAAATGATTTCATCCAGAAAAGCGAGAGACATTGGTTTCCGAGCAGCAGCGCAGACCAAAACAACCTGAAAGGCAAAACAATAAGTTCCTTGGTCTTCGCCACAATTTCCTGACAGTATTTATTCAGGGCCTATGGCGCAATGGTAGCGCATCTGACTCCAGATCAGACGGTTGGGCGTTCGAATCGCTCTGGGCTCATTTTAAATGATTTTGATATTATAACGACCGCCGGGACTCGAACCCGAAACCTTTGCCTTAGGAGGGCAACGCGCTACCATTGCGCCACAATCGCAATCGAATTTGTGAAGCTCACAACTAGTGCGCTATTAAATTTTCGAATTTAGTGTTGGCTGCTTCCTATGGACGGAGACTCGCTAACCCGCTACAGTCGCCAAATCGGCACACTCGGCTTGGACACGATGCAGCGCTTGCTCAACATGAAAGTGCTCGTATCGGGCATCAACGGCGCTGGCCTCGAGTGCGCTAAGTGCCTCGTGCTCGCCGGACCCGCGCTAGTAGACATCCACGACGATCGAAAGCTAACCACCCCGGACTTAGCCTGCAACTACTACGCGCAGCCCAACCAAGTCAATGCAGTTTCGCTCTCTGGCTCCGTGCTAAAGCAGCTCAAGAAACTCAACCCGCGGGTCACGGTCAATCCAGTTTCAGGGCCGCTGACTCCGCAGAACACTAGTTTTTACGACGTGCTGGTACTGTGCAATTATAAGGCTGAGCAGATCGAAGAAATCAACAGCTGGACGCGCCAAAACAACTCGGGCTTGATCGCGGTTTTCCAGTACGGGCTGCTGGGAGCAGTGTTTGTGGACTTTGGCAGTCAGTTCAAGGTCAAGGACCCAACGGACGAACCACCCAAAACTTACGTGCTCAGCAGCATTTTCGCTGAAGAGGAGCAGTCCGTGTTGTACTTTGCCGACAGTAGCGCCACACAGCTAATGGTCGGCAGTCTTGTGCAGCTCGAGAGCGTTTGCGGTGACGAGTCCATCGCTCCGCTAAAAGCACGACTGGAATCCGGAACTTTTACTGTCACTGCCGCGACTAGTGATTCCATTACTGTCGACCTCGTCTGTCCGCCCGGGAACTATGCACTGTGCGCCAACCTGCGGATCGTTAATAAAGAGTGCTGCATAAACTTTTCAACGTTTGCGCAAAACTGGAAATCGGTCTCGCAAGAAGACAGTCCCACGTTGCCTATCTTGCGCTTCGACGCTCCCGCACTTTCTGAGCAGCTCTTTCTCGCTTTAAAAGTAATCAACCAGCAGCTCAACGCCTCGCAGCGTTCCGAAATCTCGGCAGAGTGCCTGAAGGACATGGTCAAGCTCGCCGAGATGATGAATCAAGAGTACAAGAACACCAACTCTCCGCTGTACTGCGAGAAGCTCAACGTCGAAACGCTGAACAAGCTCTTCCGGCTCTGCGACACGCAGTTCTGTCCTCTCAGCAGCATCGTAGGCGCGCTCGCCGCGCAAGAGACTATTAAGTACACCGGCAAGTACATTCCACTCAACCAATGGTTTTTTTGCGACTTCGCGGAGCTTGCGCAAGACGAAGTGACGAGTGCGCGAGAGCTTACCGCGTTCGCACCGCGATACGAACACTTAATCCGCATTCTCGGTTCGCAGAACACGCAGATTTTGCAAAACGCTAAACTGTTCTGCGTTGGACTCGGCGCCCTCGGCTGCGAATACATGAAGTTACTAGCGCTGCTTGGAGCCGGTTCCGGCGCGGATGGAGAACTCTTTATCACCGACATGGACAACATCGAGCTGAGCAACCTGAATCGTCAGTTCCTCTTCCAAGAGCAGCACATTGGCCTTTCGAAGGCGGAGGTCGCTGCGGAGCAGGCGCTCGCGATGAACCGAGACTTAAAGTTCGTCGTACATAAAGAAAAACTCGACGTTAGCACGGAGAACATCTTCGACCGCAAGTTCTGGCTCAGCGTCGACTGCGTGCTGAACGGGCTCGACAACGTCGAATCGCGCCAGTACGTCGACGGAAAGTGCGTCTGCTTCGAAAAGCCGCTGGTCGACGCGGGCACACTCGGGCCGCGCTGCAACATACAGGTGGTGTATCCGCACGTGACCTCATCTTACTCCGACTCGAGAGACCCTGAAGAGGACAGCATTCCACTCTGCACGCTCAAGCACTTCCCAAACAAGATCGAGCACTGCCTTCAGTGGGCACGCGACACGTTCACCTTCATGTTCCAGGTCGCTGTGCAGACACTGAATGAGGCGCAGAGCAACCCCAAGCAACGCCTCTCCGATCTGCTGAACGACAACCCTGACGAGTACCTGGAGAAACTGTTTACCATTATGCTCGTCTTGCTGGACGTGCAGCGAAGCAGCCGCAACGAACGCTTGCAAAAGTTGGTAGCGCTCGCAGACTTTCTCCTGCAAACATACTTCATCAACGAAATTAAGCAGCTGCTGCACAACTTCCCAGCCGATCTCGTTTGCGAGAACGGTTCTCGATTCTGGAGTGGACCAAAGCGCCCACCGACGCCGCTCGAGCTGCAAATCTGTGATGCCGAACAATTCGCCTTTGTGCTCTCTGCCTGCAAAGTTTACAGACAGGTGCTCGGCGCGCACTTCGATATCGACGAAAACGCTGTGCGCAACAGCCTTGCCTCACGCGTTTTGCACCCGTTTGTTCCGCGCCATACGCTTATTTCTACCGATAACTCCGCAGCACAGCCAACAGACCGCGCCGGCCAAGCGTTTGAGCACTGCCAGCAGGTGCTCGACCTCGCGAAGAAAATGGAGGCAGCGTTGGCTGGCGACGTCGTCCGCCTTACGCCTGTGGCATTTGAAAAAGACGATGAGGCCAACGGGCACGTGACGTGTGCTGCGGCTGCCGCCAACTTGCGCGCGCGCAACTACGGGCTCGCCGAGCTGCCACTGTACAAAGCGCGGATCTCCATCGGAAAAATCATCCCGGCGCTCGCGACCACCACGGCGCTGGTCGCCGGCTTCGCCGTAGTCGAACTCATTAAGGCAACGCTTGCTTCGCACGGCCGCTATGACGTCAAAAAGCTGCGATGCTTGTTTGCCTCGCTGTCCTGCAACGAATACATGCTCGTTGAGCCGCAGGAGTGCAAGCGCTTCAAAAGTGCAGACTTCGACCCGCTACTCTGCGGCCCCGTCGTTGCAATCCCGGAAGGCTTTACGAAGTGGGAAAAAATTACGTTCGAAGTGAAAAAAGCGGCGACGCTCGGCGAAGTCATCGAGAAAATTGGCGCGCACTTCGAAATTAAAGTCACTTCGTTGATAGTGAAGACCGTAACGCTCTACTTATCTTTCTTAAAGAACTCCGCCGCAAAGCTCGAGACTACACTCTACGGACTTGCACAAGAACGTTGCGCGCAGCACTACGACGTACAGTGTGCGTTGGCGCAAAACTTTCTCTTCGTGGACGTCGCTGGCGCAGATGCCAAAGGCGTCGACGCAGTCGTGCCACGGGTCGAATTATTGTTTTCCTAGTCGCTACGTTGCTGAGTTGACATGCTTAATTTCAGCGTCCAGCTGGATGCCCGGCAACAGGCTGTCAGCAGAGGCGCGCGCACAAAAACTCTCGAAGAGTTTTGAGAGTAACTGCTGCAGCATTTTTTCATCAACGTTTTTCTTCAGCTCCGTCGCGGAGTTCACAAGCTTAATGTACTCCATGCGGCCCTTTTCCAAAGCAGTCGACCGCTCTTCTCCGCTACTTTGCCATCCAAAGTAGTCGTTTGGAGACGCCAAGATGCTGAACGGCACTGCGACAGCGACGTCGCACAAAACGTTAATGTGCTGCAATTTGCCGTTGTCGGTCGCGTTGGCGCGACCCGCGGCGCATCCTGCAGACTCTGCGCGCGCATGCAGCAAAGAGGTCGGCAGCAGTCGAGTCGTTGCCTGCTTTGCAGCTGTGTTGTAGCCGTACGCTGCGACTTCCATATCGTTAAACCTTTCGTCCTGCCCGCTTCTGCTCTGCAGTTCACCGCGCGCACGCAAACCGGGAGGATTGCACACGCCCGCCGCGCTCGGCGCAGTTCCCAGCACCGCACTCGGCGGCGGAGGAATCGCCAGCGCGCAAATCGAATCGCAAATTTTAAACTCGCAGTTGCAGTTCAGATAGAGCCGATTCTGCGCACGACCCGGCGAAGTTTTTGCGCCATGCGAAAAGTAGGGAGGGTCGAACTCATTTCTCAAGTCCGCAGATTCCTGCGAAAACCGTATGATCCCGTTCACCTTCGTGATGCCCTCGAGGTCACTGCAGAAGTCATGCGCAGGTGGCGCTTCCGCGCCCGCAGCTGCGCGGCTACCACTCGATTCTGGCGCTGTCGAGGACGCTTTTCTGGCGTCGCCCGCTTTTTGTGTCGGCTGCAGTAGATTTGCGACGCTTTGTTTTGAAACCATGAAGAGCGTCTGAGCGTGCACGTCTCGGATCAACTTCTCCACCGGCAGCGACTCAATCGGGCAAGCTTTGTTTTTCCAAAAGCTCTTTTCGTCGTGAACAAAGTTCTTGTGAATGTAGCTGCAGCTGTCGAACTTGCAGGGGATTTGTCGAATCGAATTGATACAGTATCGAGCGCTGCCCTCCATCAGCCGCAGCTTACTGTACGCTGCGACCACGCAATTTTCGGTGTACTTGCGCAAGTCCTTGTCCAGCAATGCGACGGCGCTCTCGTTCGTATATATGATAAACACCGTATTCACGCGGTGGATTTGAGCGCACAGCACGCATTCCAGCGGACCGTACTTGCCCAGGTAGCGAAAGTCAGACAGCTCCGACGCATCCATCAGTTGACTCGGCACGTTCACGAGTCGGCACATAAAGAAGCGCTTGCAGCACGGCGATCCTTTCGAGATAGTTTCCGTGTGCGCTCGGCCCTTCGCACCCCCGTTCTTGTACACATTCAGCAGTGCGTCGCCGTCGAGCGCTGCTTCTTTCGGCACCCGTACAATTTTTTTGAACAGCATTTTGCGGTATTGCTGCTCGTCGTACTCCGTGCGGCACTGCGGACACACTTGATTTCCCGTTTCTGTGATTTTCTTCAAGCACCAGAGACAAATTTGGTAGTTGCAGCGGCACGGGAACAGCGACAAATCGCCTTCGTCCATAGACTCAGCGCAAACTGGGCAAAGCAGCTCCTCCTCTGTCGTGTACACCACGCCGTCGCTTGACACGCTGATGACTGGAGTCATGCCCTCGAGTTCGCCACGTGCCTCGCTGCGATTTAATCAATAATTATTTCAACGTAGTTACTTTCCCGTCTAGCAATAGCCGCACCAGTGAGGCAATTTCGTGCAGCTCATTTGCCATGTAAAGCATCACAAGCTCACACTCTGTTTCGAGCAACAGCCGGCCGAGCGCTCGGTTCGCCTCTGCGAGCCGCAGATAAGCTGCAGACAGACGCGAGCGGAACAACCCGTCGTTCAGCCGCAGAAGAAACGTCCATTTGCGCATGTGCAGCTCGCAGACGGTCTTTACCAGCTTCTCAGCTGCGCGGTTTTTTTGGCAGTTGTGCGAGCGCGCAAGCCTCGCGCCTAGCTCGAGTAACTGCGTCAGCTCAAATATTGACGTTGGGCTGGCGCTCTGCAGCGCCGTCTGTGGTGCTGCGCCCGCTGCTCCCACAGCACCGCGCGTTTGCTCGGTCAAAATTAGCAGCGCCAAAATTGTTAATAGCGCACTCGCTAGTTTCATGTGTAGCAAAATATGCGCGCAGTGCGCTTCCAAGCAATTCGTGCCGCGCCGAGCGGGCGCTGCTTTTTAGTCGTGACGGTGCACGACTGCACCAGCATGTATCTTGCAGCCTGCGGAAAATCTTGATTTGCACTGAATAATGCGCGCGGATGGCGCATCCGCAAATACGAAATACTGCGAACCTGCAGAACAAGTTGTACGACAGCGGTAAGTGCGTTCTTTGTACACGCAGCAATCGATGAACTCGAACAAAAGGCCCGCTACTACTTTTTGCTCTTTTCGCGAGAGAAGAAAAAGCGCGAGGCGCTACAAAGCGAAAACTACTTGCTGCTGCAAAATAACATCAAGCTTGACAAGCAGTTATGCGAAGACCAGGAGCGCTTAAAAATTGTAGAAAACAAGCTAGAAGTCACTAAAGGCGATCCGAACACGATCAAAGCCGTGTTTGAACGACTCAACTTGCTCTACTGGCAGCTCGACACACTTTCACAGTCGCTGGCAGGCATCGTATCCTCAGTTGCATTTGCGCCGCCCGCGTCCACAAACGAAAAAGTGAAAATGCTGTTGGATTACCTTTACCCTTGCCGGACGCTTGATGCGCGACTCGACGGCTTGTTCGCCGCATTGTTGGAAATCGCGGCGGGCGCGCGCAGCATTGGCGAGCAAGCCACCGTCCCGCCGCCGCCCGTCTTCGACGAGCTACTGAAACGAAACGCATATCCGTGGGCCGTCGACGCAGACTCACCGGTGTTCATTCGCAGCATGTTCCAACCGACGAACGACTCAAGTGCACTGCTGAAAGCGAAGTTCACTCCGCGACCCAACGCACCCAAAACTTCAAGCGTCTCGAAAGAAGCCAACGAGGCTGTCCCGTTAACGGGCCTAAAACTTGCGTTCGGCGAACTCGTTATTGACGATGCAGCAGTCCAACCCGCATCTCGCCAATGCGTTATTACCTGCAGGTACTCAAGCGAGCCGATCACCACGGCCGTCACCAGCAGAGACCGCGCGACAGGCGTCTGGAAGCTGGACGGCGATGGTAGAGCCGTTAGCCCGCAAACAGTTCAACTCACTTCCTTGCCGCTGAAAAGCAAAGGAGCTGTGCCTTCGCTCATTTTAGAGGTGTGGGACTACAAAAACCGAGGAAAACCTTTTGGAACCGTGACTGTGTCCTTCGACGATGCGAAGATGCTAACCGCTTATGCGTACTACGACGTGCTCAGCGATCCGGGCGCGATACCAATTGGCCGATTGTCGCTCGAGTTCACCGGCATTCCGTCGAACGCGGCACTTCCTGCACAGCGGTTCCAAACCTACATGAAGAAGCATAAGCGTGTAGAAGCGGATGCGCCCGCTATGAAGGAAGAAACGTTCGCGCCGTCTCGCAGGTCACGTCCGCCGCCTAAAACGTCTGCTGACACGGACAGCTCCGATTCAAATCCCGACACTGATCGCGGCTTGCCCTCGCACGGACTGAAGCACAGGCCGCGCAAGCACACCGCTGCGCAGTCGGACGGCGACGCAAACACGGAAGCAGACACAGAAGCGGACACTGATGCCGATAACGTCGTTCCCAAAGCTCCGCAGCCGCTGGCGAAAGCAGACACAGCTGAGTCTAGCCGTGACTCTGACAAAGAAACGCGCGACAGCGCCCACGCCGCGGCTACTAAACGGACCGACTCCGCAGGCAATGATGCCGGAACCAAGCAGGCTTCTAGCAATAGTTTTGAACAATCTGATTCTGCAAAAGCTGTGCCTAAGCTGGACGTGCTGGCGCCCAAAAAGCTCAGTTTGATGCCCAAGGTGCCCTCCGCCGATACTTCTCTGCCACCGCTAAACGCGCTGAAGCAGCTAAGCAAATCGC